ACGCCCGCTCTAAACATTATAAACGAGGTCATTTGAATCATATCTGATAAAGTTACTCTAACACTGTCATATTTGCTAATTGTGACGTCATTAACAGACGACGCCATTGTGACATTACATGAATTTGATTTTAAGGGTTATAAATGTAATTTAAATTGAATTCATGACTAATAATTTAATTCAACAATAACATACAACTTTCAATAGAATTGTATTAACATTGTTTTTAATTTTTGATTTTAAAATACGCGTGACTTTTTTCCGTTTCCATTTCTGTGAATCTGCATTCGGAATGCTAACAGGAGCATAGAGAAATCTTATTACTGAAAGTGCTCTGTGGAACTCTGTAGTTAAACAAGATGTTATTAGCAAGGTAAACGGTTTTACGCTAGATAATCTTACTAATATTATAATGCTATAGTTAACACAGAATTACAGAATAAAATACTAAAGGATATTGCGTTTTCTTCAGATATTTATCTTTTTAAATCGAATTTATAAAGATAAAGGGACGCGTTACGACTGGACGAGCTATTTATGGATAATTATCTAGAGAATAAGAAACAACGGGAAATATCCCGCCGAGAGGACTAATTTATTTCTGAATTTCTACGAATTGAAAACAGACGTTCCAATTTCTCGCTAGAGGGCGCTTCGAAACAATTATACTCCACTTTTTATTACATTTAACGCTTTTTTATTATCACAAAACAAAATGGCCGAAAGCCTAAATCGTAAAATGTAAGTTTATAATTTAATTATAATATTTATTAAAAAATGATTACTTAACTACCAAATTTCATTTAAATCAATGTAATGTGAGTATAACCTAAAAAATAAATGATGTAAGAAGTAAATAATTCCACAGTAAGAATAATCCGTAATTTGAAGACGGTACTCTTATATGAACTACAATTCCACTGAGATTAATTCAATTCCACCAGCGGCTAAGCTGGTTTCAACCCAATTATTACCACTAAATGAACAAGGTGACTGTAGACTGTGACTGTAACGGTGCACCACTGAAACGACATTTAAGGCCCTAGAAACAAAGTCGCTTCCCGCTGTCTGTTAGTCTGTATGCTTAAATCTATAAAACTACGTATTGATTTTGATGCAGTTTTATCAATAGATAGAGTGGTTCGAGAAGACGGTTTATATGCTAATTCTAGAGTTTTCAAATGTGATGCCGAAACTAAATTTTCGTATCAGTATTGGACCCGGTCGATACGGACCGGATCCGTATTTATATTATAAAACTGTTATTATCACCTGAAATAATCTAGAAAATTTGTACGCTATATAAAGGTAAATGAAATTAAAATTAAACATCACAGATATTATTAAGAGATGAGTTTATCCATGCTGTTGTAATTACAATTCAGCCGCCTGTTATATTCATTGTAATGAAGTGAACTTAATTACCTTTGTTTTGTTAAGGGCAGAATACACGGACTCGATGCTGCAGATTGATTAGAGCTACCGTGCACAGCGATCCTTATAAATCAAAATTACACAGTAAATTCCTCCTGCTGAGACACAAAGCATAGAAAAGCAATTTATTTGCATTTTAAGGTAATACAAGGATTTGACTTGCAATTCAAGGAAAAAAACAAAAAACATAGCTCATATGACAAATGACTTTACTGCCACATAACATTATAGTTAAATATTCACAAGCCGAAATAATTTGTCATTTAAGAACTTTAATAAAATAGAGAGAAGTCGCATTATTTGTAATCTTTCTAGCATAGAATTGGACATTAAAAATCCATCTTCTCTAATGTGCGAAAGATGTGTCATGTCAGATTTGTAACGACCGAGTGTATCGCTTTCTACGCAAAATTTACTATCAAAAAATTGAATGTAAGACTAACAATTCAAAACCAATTAATCTTCATACGTTATCAAATAATCACCTAGTCCGTCAAACTACATGCGATTAAATATTTGGACAGACAAATGAAGTTGCTCAAAAATCGCTTTGTCGCTGTCAAAACTTCTAGAAAATCAGCAGTGTATAGTTGCAACCAAATAATCTTCGTAATCATTTTCCCGAAGGAGGATTGTGAAACAATTTCATTGTACATCCGAAGATTTATAATTTACGAGCGGAAAGCAGTTAAATTTGGGATCCTTTCGAAATTGAAATCTTCATAAATTTATCCAATTGTCTTTTCTTATAACTGTTTCATTTTTAGAACAGTAAGATTCTGACTGACTGATTTCGGATGTTTCCCGAAAGGCCCAACGATGGGTAGAACTAGTGGGATTTTTTTCGAACTGGGAAGGGGAAAATATCCCAATAGATTTAATCAACGTGCCGATCGGTCTAACGGGAAACATTCTTGATTTCAGTAATGTTTTTCGCAGTTATGGATGGGTGTATGTATTGAACGAATTGTCTATTTTAGCGAGAACATTGTTAGCTTCTTGATATTCCGGGACACGTCTCTAGAGATCGAGTACTCTTCGATCTATCTATAATAAACTTTGCTAATACTTACTTATTTGTTATATATATTATTTTGACAATCTTAATCTGTTAATGTAAATACAAAAGATTAATGCATAAATAAACATACAAGTGGTGATAGGGGCAGCATATGGACTCCTGGCAGGTAATCAGTGCAAAATACAACCTCTTTGGCTGACAAGAAGTGTGAATACAGCCAAAGAGGTTGCATACTGGCCACCGAGACATTTACGTGGTTTGATAAGGAAAATAAGAAAAAAATCGCACACAAAAAGAAAAAAGTGATCGGGATAGTTTAGTTAAATGATTGTAAATATGTAAATAAGTTTGAATAAAATTGTTTTGGTTTAGTATAAAAGTTTTGTTTTGTATATTTGTCTGCCACGCCGTCGGTAACAGATTAAACAGCGGGTCCTAAACACTAGTTTGATGATGGTCATATTTGAGTTAATCCATTATTTAGTTTATAATGTTACATAGAAATATAAACAATTTAATGGTTTTATGTTTAATATTGAGTGCTTATTATATTTTATTCAAGTTTAATCTGAAATGTTTCTTAAAATCGTTACATTTTATGAAAAGAGAGTAAAACTTAGCGCTTAATGATTTCACTTTGCGAAAGAAAATTAATTTCCGTCAGAGGATACGACGTTTCTTGAAGGTATGTCCTTTTTATTACATTCGACTGAAAGCATCGGATTTATAGCTTAAGAGCCAATAAAATTTTATCGTTTTAACTAGCTTTACGGCCAAATTGAAACTAGTCACTTTTGAAGATTTAATCGGAACTAATATGAGTGGAAAGATAGCTTATTTGATGACATAAAACATATAATATTAATATAAACAATTTTAATGGAATTAAAATTAAAATTAATGTCTAATTTAATATAACAGATGGCGTTAATTTAAAAATATACTCCAAGTACAACAAATATTCCACTATTTTGAAGAAACAAACGCGCGTGTTTAACCTACATATCCTCTCCACTATTCACGTAAGGATAATAAACCTAACATACCTGACCGTCATTAAAAGGTGAATATTAAATTTCCCGCCTCCACAGACTATAAATACAACGTCATTACGCGGCCATTACTGTGACGTCACACGTCGGTTCACGCGCCGACTAATCCTTGCCGCAGCGTATTTTATTACCACAGACAATAAATTATTTGATATCAGTCGTAAGGATGCTTTTATTAATTTAATAAATAACCACAAGATAATAAATAGTCTAGTTTTGACAGCTGTCAGAGAAAGAATAGACTACTACTTTCTACTGATTTTGTCCGATAAGAGGATGTAATGGCCAAAATTATGCAAAATTGTGCAAATTTTATGAACAGCATGCGTAAGATTAAATTTTTCGTCATGTATGAAATTACTAGATTTCGCCCGATTCTCCGTTTGCGAGGAATTAAAAAAAAAACAAAAGCTAAGTACCCTACGTGTTCTTCCAGACTATCGTCTACATCTATGCCAAATATTATCGAGATCCGTTCAGCCGTTTAGGCTACAAACTCTAACAAACATCCATCCATTCATTCAAACATTCCCGTTTTTAATATTAGTGTGATTAGTAACCATAACTACCCATTTAAGGTGTCATTTTTGCCAGGATTTCAAAAATGCATCCAATCCGTTTTTTTTTAAACTTATATGTTTATTACATCTTTTTCCCTTAAAATGTTTATATGTATTTAGACTTCGTCTTATCTAACTTAAAAAGGACTGCCTTTCAATAGCGTAAATGTAGAGTAAAATTAACTTGAATATATAAAAATGGACTGAGCAAAATTCTTTCTGTGTCATTCCAATATTCGAGTCTGGACAAATAACTTCCTAAAAGGGCAAGGCCTAAACTTAATGGGCGATGTTCCCAAGCGTATATTAAATGTCCCAACATCCATTAAATCGTTTGATATCATTAATAAAATAGACTTCAGGCCATTAGAGTACGTGTGACATGGCCAATAACTTTCAAGGTTGAATACTTGACCCTATTTATTGCTTTTCATGATGTTCTTTTAGAGATTGAGGCAAGAAACGCAGTTAAAACGAATAAATAACATTAAAACCATAGTACACGCGTAATAATCCTTAAATTACTCATTTCTGTCCTTCTGTACAACGAATCTACGTTTAAAATCACTCCTGTAAATGTATTGTAATTTATAGGAAATTACAATGAAAACTATCATGCGCTTTTTCACAATTAGTCGCATATTTCGGCTAAAGTGATACGTTAAATAAAACTAAAGTTAACGAGTGAATAAAAATACACGACCTTTCTCCGGCCCACGTAAACCCTTTTCTATATAGTTTTATGATCAAACAACAAAGACTGCTTTGCCGATAAAAAGGCAAAGTATTTCACTCGAAAGAATAAGATTATTTTGCTATAGCATTTTTCAACATAAGCTGTTATAGATCTAAATTAATGTAAGTTTTCATATAATAATTTTAAAATTGAAAATAACGCCATCTAGTTGAACGAAATGTAATCTCTGTTGCCAGAATTACCGGAACCAAGAAAGCTAGTATCCATCCTGGGCCTCTTCGAATTGACAGTGGGGGATATGCCGCGTGCAGAGGGCGCCTCCGAGCTGGCAGCAGCGCGGCTTGCTATTAGCCACATCAACCAACGGAGGCTCCTACCCGGGTACACATTGCACCTCATCACCAACGATACCAAGGTACAAGAAACGACAGGTTCAAAATATATAAGGTACGGACTACCGATCTTGCGGTCAAAAGTTCGAATCTCGTAAACAATTGTCATAAACCATATCCTAGCACAGGCCTAAAGCTCAGTCCGTATGGTTAAAGGAAATGTTAGTAAATAAACAAAAATCTACTAATATTTTATATAAAAAGTTGTATTTAATAATTACGTAGTGTCTGCAAATTCAAACTCCTTCCGTTGTATAATAAGAGTCAAAATGTTTGCCGGCTCGTGTCTGCGAAGGTTTTCAAATATTCCGAGCTACCATAATATTTGAATAACAGTACCACACCAATATAATTTTTAACTATATAATGTGTGGGCAGTGTGACCCAGGCGTGGGCGTGGACCGATTCTTCCACGCGTTGTACACGGAGCGTTCATCGCGCATGGTAATGGTGCTCGGAAGCGCGTGTTCTGATGTCACCGAGAGCATCGCTAAGATCGTTCCTTATTGGAATATTGTACAGGTAAATGTTCAAAGTTTTCAATTATTTTCGTAACATCTTATAAACCAATGGTCCTAGTTAGTGAAAAATATCTCACAGATAAGCTAACAAGTCTTGTCTTCTGCCCTTCAAAATAATCTAGCTTCTTACTTCTTACGAATATTATAAATGCGAAAGTTTAGATGGACGGATAGATGGATGAATGTTTGTTAGAGTTTATAGCCTAAACGGCTGTACGGAACTGGATGAAATTTGGCATAAACATAGAGGATAGTCTGGAAGAACACATAAGCTACTCCCTTTTATTTTTTTTAATTCCACGCGAACGGAGTCTGGGCCGAAAGCTAGTTAAATATAAAAGGCATAAGAACATTACCAATTAAACTAAGAAATACGTCTGTACCTTATGAATTTAGAAATCTATCTTATAGTAATTTTAATATATAAAATAACCCGAAATTAACTACAAATATAACTTCAATATTTATGATTGGTTTCGACATGTATCGAAAGTTTTACATAGATCAAAGTAATAAGTAAAATAAACTCTCAGAGCGAGGCTCAGAGAATGCTTTTGAGAAAAGATAACAAAGATCTTACATTTAAAGTACGCCAGTTGAAAAGTTCAAGCAACACAAATAAAGGCGTTAAAACTTCACACATATTTTATACGCTTAGATTTTACACAGGGCTTTGAAGTTATTAGTATAGAAAATGTTTAAGTTTGTAATAAGCCATACCTACTTTGAAGTTGCGAACATTAACACCGCAACAAACTGCCGTTAAAATGTGCAGTTCGCATTTTCAGTTAGAAATATCAATTTTAACTGAACGTATAAAGCAGTTATAGTGCCAAATTAGTGTTGTTTAATATAGGTTTACGAGCACATAAGAAATTCGCTAGATAAAGAGTTTATGACTAAAAAAAATATGAAAGTTTCCCCTTTTCATACTTTCCAATATCGAAAAACTTTAAAGTATATACTTCAGAGATATCTTTGAATTTACAATGCAAGAAACTTTCACGGAAAGGATTACACGAAGTCGTCAATACTGAACGAAGTTTATCAGGCAATTCACAAAAATATACTTTAGGATTGGGTAATAAAGTATACTTTCGTATGTTGAACAATAATTTTACAGTGGTAGTGCCCGCTTTAACATCTTAGCACGAATAGGCCGGCACGCCCCATGTAATACCACGACCACACAGAAGACAGCCGTGAAATAGAAGCAATTCCGTGTTTCGTCTGATGAGTGTGGTGCCGGAGGCCTAATTTTAGTCCCTTTCTCTTTACCACTCTTTTCTTATAAGGAGAGGATGGGAAGAGGAAATGAATTTGACGGTGGAGGAGATGCATAGGGAGGGGAAATATATATATCCTCCTGCGGATGTCTATGGACAACGGTCGCTTCGCCATTTTGGTGGATTCAGGTGGCCGCGTGCTCGTTTGCCACCTTATTTTATAAAAAAAATAATAATTGCTATTTAAATTCAACAGTTGTTCGGAATATTGAATTGGCTGCTGCATAAATTCGAACACTAATCTATACTTATATACTAATATTTGAAAGAGGAAAGATTTGTATTTTTGTGTATAGTAAAATAACTCAAAAACTAATAGGCCGATTTCAATAATTCTTTCACCATTAGAAAGCTACATTATCAATGAGATATATTGTTTATTATTTCACTCGAGCAAAGTCGCGAGCATCTGCTAGTCTATGATAATGAAAGCAGCGATATGTGCAATGTAATTGTCATCTAAAACAATTGGAGCATGAAAATAACGTCGCTTGGGAACGTAATTACATCCAGTAATCGCAGTGAAAGCCCATCTGCTAATGGATCTCTAAAAAATGAATCCATATGCATCTACAACTCATAAACACGCGTTCGTCTTGAATATGATTAAAACATCCTTCAAGTTTTTATCTTAATAAGAGCGCACATCTTTGACTAAACTATCGCATGACTGTTGTACGATTATAGATTGTTTCGCAGCCAATTCAACTAACTAAGTAATGCGCGCACCTTCATATAAGCTTATAGGAATCAAAGCGCGACTAAACAGTTGTGCGATAGTTTAGCCGTCAAATTTAAAAATCATGTTAAAGAAATTTCGTAGCTGGTAAAGAAAAAGTAATTATTACCGAACATCCCTATGCATTATTACCAAACAAAAATAATTTACTCACAAATAAGAATTCTAACATTTCTCGACTACAAACTCAAGATGTTGCACGATTCATAGATAGTAAAAATCTGCTCTTATCGCATTTTGTGTCAAGTTAAAACAATGACTCCGTTCAAGTCGTGTCCTTACCAAGCAGAAACTTTACTTCAACTTTTAACGAACAAAGAAATTGAGTAGAAAGTTTTCGGCCACGAGGAAATTTCTCATTTCTTTGATTCTTTCCACTTAAGAGTTCAGCGTTAAGTTACATCTTTTGTATGTGTCCTCACTTAAGTTGTGACAAAACTGTGAAAGGACTTTCTTAACGTGGTCATTAATCAATTTGTAATTGTTCCCATTATAATACTAATCTAAAGAGAAAAGATTTTTTTTTATATGTAAAAAATGAACTCAAAACTTTAACCAAAAAAATCTTTGACTTCTATTCATTACTAGATCTTTCTAAATTTCGCATAAACGTATTTAATAGTAACTAACTGTTGCTCACGACTTCGTGGTGAAATTAAAAATATAGCATTTGTAACGTAGCGAAAACGTAGTTTTTAATAGTGGAAGAATTTTTGAAATCGGCCCATTTTTTCAGTTGACATAAAAATTCAGTTAAAACATACAAAAATCCATAAATACAATCTTCTTTGTAATAGTATAGATATTGATTATTATTTCGTTTATAAACAAACTACTAAACTACAATGTAGAGTTGGCAAAATTTGTAGAACCAAAGCAAGTACAAAGCACTGTTTGGAAAGCTGTGAAATGACAAACGCAGGCTTTCGTCGGCGGACGTTTTATTACGTTCGTCAGCCACAGGCTTAGGTACTGCCAATCGCTAATATTGCTTTGTTTCGATACTTTACTATGCTTATGACGAGTTATTAAAAAATCCAAATGCAAACGCGAAAAGACAGTCAAGTGGAATTATTTTGTGTTTCATTTGATGAGTTTTTGTTACTAGCTGTTGCTCACAACTTCGCCCGCGTGAATGTACAAATAATAAAAAATGTAGCCTATGGTACTCAGTTATGACCTAGCTGTTCACTGGTGAAAGAATATTTGAAATTGACCCAGTAGTTTTTAAGTTATTTCAATATGTTTAAAAATACAAATCTTTCCTCTTTATAATATTAGTATAGGTAGATATAGTTGTGAGTCGAAGTTCACGGAAGTTGCATACATATGTGTGGAGGGCAATGAAAATTGTTGTGTTTAGCTGCATTTTTATATTCTTTTTTATTGGATTTCTGTAGGTAATCTATAATATTTTGTCAGTTCTCTCTCTTAAGATGCTGTATTAAAAAATACTATAAAACGTCATAACTTTGTAAATCTTAGGTATCGTTCGGTTCTACTTCACCGGCGCTGAGTGACCGCTCAGAATTCCCGCTCTTTTGTAGAACTGTGGCCCCGGATTCTTCGCACAATCCCGCAAGGATCGCCTTTATCAGGTAAACGTAACACAGTTGAAATAACCCCATACACATGAATTCTTATTTTTATTAATTAAACAAATGTATCGAAAATAGAGAGTGCTTTTGAATCTTAGTCAAATAAAAAAAAAACTTCGATTTAAATTTCCCGCCTAGTTAATATCTGGCTGACAGTTCATTATAACGCTAATCAATCATAATTAAATAGATATTAATTGAAATATTACGCTTCTCTATCAATTAAACTTTTCAGTAATAAATTAAATTAATTACGACGTCAAAATAGTATGAAACAGGTGAATTAAAATACAAACAATATATAACTAATCAAAGAAATGGTAAAATATTCCAAGTCGATATACAATTTAATAATTATTAATTTTAAGTAGCACATCGCTTGGCAACATCCAATTTATTATGTTAATATTCTACGTATCAAAATAATCCTTGAGACGAAGAATTAACGTGTGTAAACATAACATTGATTATCGGAAACATAATATTAGCATAATCAAAACAGCGTCAAACAGAATGTCTTGTCAAAAACAAATTTTCTCGTAGACTTCTTACAAACTTCCAAGATGACGAAGCAAAGTAATTTGCCGGTTACCTGACAAAGTTTGCAAATTGTAACGTGATTTCCATTAACGATGTCAAATTTTATTATTTTCTTAGCAAATAGTCTATTAAATTACAAACCTATGGTTCAAAGACCTCTAACTAAGGATAGGCGATCCGATCTGATACTTTGGTACATGCAATCCAAAGAAACATTTAATAAGTATATAAACTAGATATGAGAACGCCATTTTTCCCCGGTAACTTCTTTGAAAGGTAATATCTCAATGTCAAATTGGAGATGGCTAGACGCTCAGTATTTGAATTATCGGTTTGTTTCTGATTTTGACTATCGGACAACAGGTTAGTGAGATTATGTGAAAAATGTTTCAAGTGAAAAGTCAATTATGCTTAGTCTACATTTCTTTAATCTCTTTAGATCTAAATATCGATACCAAGCATCTAGATTGGACATCACTACCCTTAACCAATGTGGTGCTAAATGCGTGTTCTCAGGCAACATGGTTGGGACACGGTAACCGCATTCTCTCAGAATGAGGAGGTGTACTCACTGGCGGTGAACGAGCTGGTGACGCAGCTGGAAGCAGCAAACATCACCTGCGCGGCTTCCATCACTTTCGCAGAGTCGGACTTCAAGGAACAATTGCAACAACTAAAGGTTTCATGTCAATATCAATAGACGACTAATTGAATTGTGTGAAGGGTGACATGATGAAGAAGGGAGTGATGATTGAGATGACGGATGTTAGAGTTATTTGGAGGACGAAATCCCAGTACTGACCCCACGGGAGTACGAAACGGTTGGGAAGAAGAAAACCTCAAATCTCACTAATAATAACTCGAAAATAGATCTTTGAAAGAGTCTCTTAATGACTTTTTTAAAAATATTGGTTCCAGAAATTGGATATCCGCATAATTATTGGCAGTTTCTCCCAAGAAATGGTGCCGAAGATATTTTGCGAGGTGAGTTGGAATCCTTAATATATCTTTATCATTTTTCACTACTTTCTTATTGAAACCTAAATCTAAAATTTCCACGTCAAAATAGTGATTTTAAATTCTAAATGTGGTGAGTGGTTGAACTGTCATCTTTTTAGATTACTTTCAGATTTACGAAGTAGTCTGCTAATAAGGATTTCCAATCGACTGGATCCCTATATACGTACCTCTAGGTTCTTAAAGTGTTGAGTGTTTATTCATTTGAGACTTGCGATGTGGTGTCGAGATCGCAGGCGTTCAGGCTGGGCATGTACGGCGCGGAGTACGCGTGGCTGCTGGCCGGC